TTCACAATATCACTCACACACACACACTCAATCACTCACCAACTCTCTCACTCTCTTCAGTCCCCTCTCTGTCTCTGTGTCTCCCTCTCTCCCTCTCTCTCTCTCATGTTTTCAAATGCAAAGTTTGTCAAAAAACGTCTATTCACAAAGGACAGAATAACAGCTACTATTATATTCAAATGGAACCAACCTGACGTTGTGCGGACATTTATTTTTCACAATCATTTACTAGACAGGAAAAAGAATAAATTCTAAGTGAGAAATGAAACACATATCCACTATGCCCCCAGCCGCTCTGCTCAACTCCCCTCCACCTGCCTCCATCGATTCAACCCCACACCGCCTTCACCCTGCTCTCCTCACAAAACGTCGTACCGAGTGCGTTTGTCTCAGAGATAACATGACTCTGCAGCGACTGTGACCCGGAAGTCTTCTGGGTCAAATTCCCACGAAGGCGGATTTCGACGTTAGCTGTATAGAGAGATTTTCGTATTTCCTTATATATAACTTCGTGTTTTCAAGATACTTGTAATAGCTTTATCGCTTAGAATGCTTCCAAAACGGTGCTTTTTTTACACAGATGTTAATTTCGATCTACGTACTTCATTTCTATGACGCCCGCAACTAACTCTCATTCGAATAGAAATACAAGAATTTAGCGTCTCTAAAATTGGAAATTTTGCATCATTTACGTCGGTGTGCCGCACCCATCAGCACAGTTGTTGGTAAGAAATGATATACGCAAACATGAGTTAGGAGCACAAGCGGAACATTCACCTTTAAATAAGTAGAACACGTATTCATTGCATGAGTAAAAGGCATGAGTGATATTCTTGCATCTTCGTTCATCGCATATTAGCGGCACTGAGTTATTCCCTTGACCATTACGATGGGTACAATATTCTCTTGAAAGGCCAGAACGCAAACTTCAATCAGGTAGAGAACATTTAAACATGAACCGAATGTGCAAGTAAGGTAAGTACCCGACTTTCGAAAAGTCGCTCCAGTTTTTGCTAGTACACGAAGATAGGTAATGCTGAAGACTGTCAGAGTCACTCTTTGTTTGCGACCACAAGTGTATTGATAAAAGCTGTTCTATGTTCATTCACTCTGAAAATAGTATTACAGCTTTAATTAGTAACTCACCAAATTCCCTTACCGCTCATATTACGTCTTACAGAATATTTTTATGAGCATCTTGAAAACCAACATTTCTATTCTCATTTATTACTCAACAAGTTTCGTGTACCAACATTTCTATTTTATGAAATTGCTTATTCCAATCTATGGTTTTAAGACGATTTTCTTACAATTTTCGTTTACATAGTACCACACAAAATACATCATAAGTTATGTTTCTGGATCTTGACAAGCATGATCTAGCTTGGCCAGAACGTGGCCATGCTCCACAAGCTCTGTATTTGTGCTGCTTTCTTGATGTTCGCCGTATTTTTCCATTTTCTCCAGCCGTCGCGTCTAGCTCATCCTGTTACTTTGTCATCTGTAATCCTCTCACGCAAGATCGCAATGAATCTTGATTCATCGATGCAAGGTCACAACGAATCAGTCATTTTATCTGCGTAACACGAATACCCATGGAGCAATAAACGTTTGCAATATATACGTACGTGTGATTCGTCATTCGAAATAGGGTGGTATTGCAGACAGATTTAAGAAGCCGGGTTTTCACAATTCTAAATCGCACTACAGTGTAATTCACTGAAACGTTCTTTACATGGTCGCCAATGTTCCGGCAATATTTGGCTGTTAATTTAGATGGCCGCTTAATCAAATTTATCAGGTTACTGGAAGCGTAAATCAACTCTAATTACGTTAATTGCTATGAAATGAGATAAATTCACTTTAACACTTTTATTTACCATAAAGGACAAAACACGATTTAAATAGATATTTAGAATTATGAGTCTCCTTTCGGATAATATCAAAACTTGACATTCAGTCTCTTAGTCGAGAAACTCGCTTTCCCTTCTCACCGAATAGAGCAAGACTTGAAGATACAATTCACATCCTGAAGAAACTTTACTACAGGGCCGTCTGATGAACTTCAGATCGAATTCGCGCATGCAGCATGCTCCGCGTGTTCTTAAAAGATTCTCACAGAGCGGACGCGCGTAATAGGAAACCATAGAAAATCTGTGAAATGGACGAAGCAAGTGCGTTGTTCTATTAAGAGAAATATATTAAAATCGTGTGTTCTTACGTGATTTCTCTGCGAGATCGGATGTTGGCGGTCCTCGGGTGATTTCGGAGGTCACTGTCCGAAAAAGTCTGTCGTCTCCCCTGTTAGGGAGATATTAACTCCACCACTTCTCGGCTTATTATTATAAAACAGCTCACGGTGACTGCTTGCTTGAGGTGAACGCTTCATAAAGGTCTACGAAAGCTGTCTGGGGAATATTTATAAGCACCTTAAGCAAAAAGCAATAGGATCCACAAAAAATGGTCATTACTTGAGGTGGTCGCTTAATAGAGGTGGCCGTTAATCAGTAGTTTCGCTGTAGTTATCCAATGAGCCCGTACGAAACTCTCACGTGATAGCAGCACCAGCGATCCGCCTCGCGTACAAGACCAGCCCACGGGAGCCCGCGCTCTAGAGGACTGCTGGTGAGTTGCTACACCTTTGTATCCTTAGAAAGTTCAGTCCTGGCTCGCTCCCGTGCGAACTACATGTGAATAATTTGCCTATTTTTTTAAAAAACTTCAATATGCAACACAATCATGTCTATTAAAGTTAGAGTAAAGACACTGAAGTCACTATAACAACCTACCCTCGGATCTCTTGTTTTCAAAGAAGACTAAGTCTACAGCGACGAATAAGATATGTTGACAACATAAATCATTTAGAATTAGTGGCCTGCATCAGCAAAAAGGCTGCTGAACGAAACCCAAGAAAATGGTTCTCCAAAAAGTACTTCTAAGAGACTAAGAATGATATCAGCTTTACAACTGACATTCTTCTTTCAAAATTAATAATCACATTGGCGGTCACGCCGAGATGTACATATAGCAACGCAACGGGAATTATACAAAATTTTATTTTGGTCGGGCAATAGATCCCGCGAAGAACGTCAACCTGTCAATGCAACGAGAGATAACCAAGAGATCATTAAAGGTTTCATGAACTGAGAGCGTTTCCCATAAGTTTCGTCTTAAGGACAGTACAGTAATGGACATTATTCTGCATTACAATGTCAGTGGTGCTGTTGCAGTTAAATTGGCAGGATGATAGTCCTGTTATATCGCTTTTTATAAATCAGTTTCTATGGCTAGGGTTTAGCAAGAGCAATACACTCTGTCGCCACATTGCAGAACAACTTCCATTCTCGTATCTGCTCGTTGCAGTTTTCAGGGACCTATAAACCACATTAAACTGCAGACTCCTACATATTTCCATAATGTTCACTGGAGTTCCAAGCGTGTGTTGCCAACTCAAGCTTTACAGTAAAAGCGATGTAGTTTTACTCGGAGCAGAAATTCAGTACACCACGCAAGCCACTTGGGTGAGGAAATTGTGATAGTTCCCAGAATAATCTGCTTATTTCCTTATTATTATTATTACTATTATTATTATTACTATTATTATTATTATTAATACTAATAATCAAGCCAAAAACTTATTTCAAGCAAGTTAGAACAAATATCACACTACAGCTGTGTAATATTTGCTGAAGAAACTTCCAATACTTCTACAAGAATTACATTTTCTTTAATGATTTTGTTTCACTCAAACAACCTTCGAAAATGTTCTTCTTAAATAAGCATCCTTGTTATATTGAACTCTTAATTATTTTTTTTATATTAATGAAACGTATTTCATTCTAATAACTGGAAATTCCCTTATCAATTTATCATATTTTTTGCAAATGAAAGGATAGGAAGCAGATAGTGATCTCGCTCTTTCGACAACGGCCAAATTAACACCTGAATGGAATTCTAGGGAATTTATTTCATACTTTACTGTTGTACTCCTCCATTTCTTGTCAAAATATAAAACTGTTGACAGACAAAAACAGGAATATGAGGGATTAAAACATGAAAATAACATATTTTTGTCAAATAATGGCATTCCACTATCTGATCCCAAGTGGATCAAATGATTTTGTCTTTAAAAACGACATTCAGAGTCCGCCGAACTCCTGGATGTAGTGGTTCGTGCCGTCCAAGAGGCTGTCAACTGACTCTGACTCTCGCTGACGTGACTCGGATCCCGGGTAAAAACCGGAAGAGGTGTTTCAGGGCATAATCTGATGTCACTGTAGTCCCTCTGACCGGGAGGTCCTAGGTTCGACTCCCGACAGTGGCAGGACATCCCATACTAGCTTGTGAGCTAGGTTGAATTCAGTCGCTGCCTGGAAGGTAATTCTAGCAGCCGGCTGCTCGAATCGGCAGTTCCCTGTGGTTTCTCCTATCAACACCAGGTGAATGTCGGAGAAGTACCTTAACAAACGGGCCACTGGCCGCACGCGATCTTTCCTATCTTTCTTGTTCTAGCTTAACTTCTTACATACACGTATACTAACATGCACTACACTACCACACAAACCGAGAGACTGGTCGGGAACGTAGAGATTGTCCCGGCTGGGGCAGTGCCCCGCTGGTGGGAGGTACCTGGTTGAGGCAAAACCCCGCTAGCCGACGGTAGGTCGGCGTCGGGTCTCGCGACCAGCAAGGGAAGATCAACGCCATCTCTCGATAGAAAACGTGCACTACACTTACGGGAATAATTACCTTTGATAGCGCAGGATAATTGACGCGCACAATTCAATCAATCTATCAATCATTGTGGGCTACAACATACTCTGCACGAAGGGTGCTAATGGCTAGAAAACGTGCACTACACTTACGGGAATAATTACCTTTGATGGCGCTGGATAATTGACGCGCACAATTCAATCAATCTATCAATCATTGCGGGCTACAACATACTCTGCACGCAGGGTGCTAATGGCTCCGGCAGCCGCCGTAGGCAGTATCCTTACCTCCGACTTGTAGTGCGTGTAGTTGAGGCTGCGCGGGTGGCTGATGAAGAGGCGCGCCGAGTACGCGGACTCCCTCAGGTTGTACGCCGTCACGTTCAGCGTCACGTTGTCGTGCCTGCCCAGCACCAGCTCCGACGTGTTCACGCGCCGAGCTGCGAACACGCACACGCACACGCGTCAGCACACGCACCGCACAAGGCGGGAGGCTCGCGTGAGCCACGGGCGTTAACAGAGCTACCAACGCTCCCCGGCCAAAATACCCACTGACAGCGCCGGGCGGGCGCCAAGTTTACGCCCACAAATATTAACGTCGGCTGTGTTGCTTCTGTGGATTTTTCATCGCCTAACACGCACCCCGTCTAATCAATTGCTTTCAAACAAGGGCGGGCCTGCTCTGTAATAGGCGTAATATATTTTTTTGAGGGCGTGTGGTTTGTCACGCCAATGCAAGGGGGCGGTCCGCGACCCCTTCCTGTTTCGCGTGGAAGCAATATTACTGAAGTATTAATTAAATTAAAGTACTAGGGGGATTGTCTGCTTGTACAACAGGAAAATGAAAAATGATTATATTGCTACCCACGGAAAGATTTACTAGCTGAGTTATTACCACTATGATTAGCCAATTTCAAGACTGGCGGAGGTTGGATTTCGCAAATGCAGGTTGTTTTCGTTTAAAATCATATTACTCGTTCCCCGGGCTTAAAATACATCATGGTAATCGTTTGAACAAATTTGTTGGAAATTTGCCTTCTTGATCAGACCGAAGGAACTTTTGAATGCCCTTTTTCTACTTGCCGGGTGAATATGTGGGTGTTATTATGAAAATGAAGAGATGAGTCAACTACAAAAGATATAGATAGCAAACAATATTCAGTACAAGAATGAAAGATATAAAATTTAAATTATCTTTTTTCTTGTGGTATAAGATCTCTTTCTTTCCTTTCTTATTTATGTGCCCACCTATTAAATCTAATGTTAAAAATTCAGAAATAGGTAAACTACATATTTCATTAGCTAATGTATTATTTTTTTTAAAAAATGAATATTCATGATACTTTTATTGAAGTTCTCTTCCAGCATTTCTAACTATTTCAGTGGTTCATATCACATCAGCACCGATTTCGTATGAATTTATTCACAATAGTTTTTCGTAGATAAAGAAACAAAGGTTCACATGAAATAGGAAACGAAAATAACCATAACCAACAAATTATTTTTAAATAAGCTCTTAAACTCCAAGAGATATAACTTTTTTATCGTATTTTTAAATTAGGTTGATGATCTGTAGCGTTCTGTAGTATTAACAACTCAAAGACTTTTCATTAATTAATGTACGTAGGTACACAAGTTTATGCTGTCAGAAAAGCCGTTCTCTCATAACAGGCAAATTGGTGAAGTTGCGAGTTGCACCATGACGTCTGTATGAAGCTGGTCTGATTTCTCAATTTGCTGTAAATATTCAGTCGGAACTAAAAGAGTGTACCATTCACAACTTTTTTTTTCAAACACTCAGTCTGTATACATGCCATTTCGAGAAGAGTCATCAAATCGGAATCTACAAAAGTCTCACAAAATATCTTGGTAATATAGTATCTCACAGAACTCTGTACACAAGACCATGGCACATAACAAAAGAGAAAGTAAAGGTTTGAAAGACCTTTTTGTTCTTTATCCCACCAGTTCATCATCACTGCTGGTCTTCCTAATTCTGACAATGACGACATCGCGCCACTGAATTGAAAAGACAATACTGATGATTATGATGATGACTGAAGATAAACAAAACTTAATTTTCAGTTTGAAATTGCACATGTTCTTACGTTTTTCCGCGATCTGTTCAACATGGATTTAAATATTTACTTATTTTATACTCCACTTTCGTACATATCGAATTAAATTAGGATTTTTGTAAATATTCTCCATATCATATGGAAATTATGAAAACATTAATACAGCGTGACTGCATTTCATATTTTCTTGTAAATTCTATACTTTAACTTTTCATATCACAAGTGGTTCAATTAAAGACACAACTTTCAGACCGATGTTGTATGAATAGTCCGATGATGCACTAACTGGAAATAACAATGTTGATGTAGATAAATAGAGCCTGGAAGTTTGGCAAATTTTCTTTTTATTATTGTTATGATTTTTAACAATTGGAATTACTTAATTGTATTTCTAGAGTTGTTTTAATAGATTTTCATTTCGTCTGTTTTTGCCTATTTTAACCTATTTTTGGGATGTTGCCTTTTTCGTCATTGTTTTTGTTTTTTTCTCCTGGCACCAATTTCGATTAAGCTGGATATATACCTGCAAGCCTGAACAACACGAAGCACGGTCGTGTTGTTTCTTTCTGTGGAAGCAGAAGCTGTGTTAAAAATCTAAATGTAAAAGGAAGAACATAACAGTCAAGATATTTGAATTTTTCATTGATGCCGAAATGAAATTGACGCCGACGTGAAATCCCATTTTGTGTATAGGCTCCAATTCCTTTTAAGGGCAGAGCTCTTTGTGAATTATATATCCTTCTCATTACAGGTCATTATATAAGTTCGAAAAACGAAAAACATAATTGCGTTTTCACTAATGCTAATTTCAAGATTCAAAAAGGAATTAGAATGGCATTTCGAAGAGACAGCATCGCGAGTGAAACAATTTCGTAGTCGTCATACCGGAAAGTCATGTGGTTTGAAGATTGCAAAGAGAATATCGTTTTAATAACACGTAAGTGCTAATGAATTTTTTAAAGTTAGAAAAAATGTGAATCATTTTGATTAACTTTTTACATAATTCTTATCCAGTACTGTGTACATGCCTCCTTTAGATTCCTCTTTACGTTAGCCAGAATAAGTGCCTTTCTGCCTACCTATTTTAGATAAAATAAATGCCTGAACTACCGGGCTCTAATGATTAATAACAAAAATCTGTACATAGCGTTGTTAACTATATTTCATATTTTCCCATATCCCTTACCTATCCTTATCATTTATGTTGTAATTTACACACACACACAGACACTTCGGCTCAGGTGCCCCAGGGCATCAAGGATCAAAACATCCGACTGTATTGATCAAAACCAAATATTTCTTCCACAAAATTATAACCCTAATTACAATTTTACTTCACTTTAATAGATGTTTTAAGTGCCAATTTTTCGCTTGTATGTGGGGGTGGTGTGACGAAACTAAAAAATGTTAAGCGTAATAGAAACGATATCCAAAACAAAAGTGAAATATATCTGTAAATTTCGTTGTACATCTTCTTGAAGTTAATTTAAAATTTTCCCAATGATTCTATTTTTAAAATTTTAGAAATAATTATACATCTAGGAAAGAGTTATGTTTGTCTTGTCTTATTTGTGCAGAAGAATGAACCTTCCAGGAACATTTACCGAAATCCTCTTGCTCAGTTTATATGTATTTAAATGATTCGAATCATAGTATCATCAATTATATACGAATTTTGTTCATCACAAATGTCGGTACACAGAGACACAGGTGCACTCAGTAGAGGCACCAGAAAGATCCACACGCATCCAAATGATTTCTAAATGTGAAGGCGCGGAGCTTGGCATCCGAAGGGGCGGGAATCCTGCCTCCTCATCTCCCAGAATAGCCGAGGAGCGCCGAGCGAGCCGCCGCCGCCGCCTGTCCAGCGCCGAGAGATTTCCCGGAGGCTCATCTCATCTGCCTAAGCCGCGAGGTGACTTCTTAACGTGCCCCCCAGTCGCTCGCCGATGAATGTCGGGCCCTCGTTTGCATAATGCTACGATCGATCCTCGCCCGCCCATCCGTTCTCCGATAGTTCTAGCGCCCCTCGTAACATCTGTGTTCTGACGGCGTGATGTTGTAGTGCCCGGCCAAGTGCAAGCCTTAGTGGGTGTAATTAACGCCCGAGGCGTGTTAATCCGTTCGCTTGCTGGAAGAATGCGGTATTTAGGTAGAATGTGTAATGAGTGTTTCCACTCACAGTAAAGCGTTTGTTGAGATGTCGTGAAAGGAATAACTGGCGGAATAGCCTTCATTCGGGCACATTGCGAGTTGAGCTCGGAACTGATTTTCCAGTTTTTTCTTCACTTTTTGATTATCTATCACCTTCACCATAATTAAACTTCACAATAATTTCGAAGACTCTTGTCGAAAATTGGCAGAAATGAGAGAGAGAGAGAGAGAGAGAGAGAGAGAGAGAGAGAGAGAGAGGGAGGGAGGGATAGATTTGAAACGTCTACCTTTGAAAAATCAATTAACATGCCAAGTTAGGGTGTTGCAGAAAAGAATAACAGTAAATATAATACTCTCAGTATATTATTGAATGTGTGTGTATGTGTGTTGCTCTAAGAACTGTAAACATGTGTCCTAAATTCAAGATGTAACATGCGATACCTCTATCAATGAAAGCAGAATATGCTAATCAAACAAACACATCCTATAACACTCTGGAGGCAATTTATTGTACTGAAAAAAACTGCTGTGAGTGTGTGAACATCTGTTCTTGAAGGAATTCTACGGAATACTTTAAATGAACTGCCAGCAAAGAACATCTTTGCATCCTGAAATTAATTTCTTTGAATATGCATCTGCGAATAAATTCGATGAGTATGCCTAACGACTACGAAGTTACTCCTATTATCTTAAAGCACGCAGCGTGTAAGTCGACTAAATGTATTCTACTTAGCGGAGCACGTAAATTCTGCGAACTTTCTGGACCAACCGAAGAAAATCCGTAAACTGGAGCTGTAATATAAACCAGAAACGGGCGGAATTCCAAGTCGAATTCAAATTCTCAGTGAAACATCTGCACCAGATATAAAGTGCGACTATGTGCTGGCTGTAATGAAGATTGCATTTTTACGTATCTATTCAGCACAAAATCTATTTATTTATTTATAGTGTATATTGACCGTCAATTATAATCTGAAATTCTGCAGAAGCTCCTGTACTTGTATATGTCTACTTATGTTGTTGCTCTCCAATATTATTCTTATTTTATTGATTTTTCATTAAATATAAAGCGTAATTACGTAGGTGTACGGTGATTTTTTTCTTATTGGATTTCCCGTGAGTGAATTTTCTCCAGAATGATAAATGATTTTTTATATTAGTGCATGTGCAACGGAATTAATGAACGATTTTCTTTTTTTTACGATCTTCATGTTTTAGGAAACGGATGACCCGAAGAGAAATTACATAAATGCACTGTATATTTCGAAAAAAAATACAAAAGGGAAAAGGTGATTAAAAATGTTTTGATGAATCAATTCAATCTTCTGCGAAGGTACTCACGTTATCTTAAGCCACACAGCGTGTAAGGCAACAATAATCGTCCTGTGCGTACGAGTTAACAAAACGTTTACTTTCCAAGTACTTTTAAATGACCCAAGCTGCAAACAACCAGCAAGCAAGAAATCTCTTTTGCATGGAGGGATAAAAGGAAATAAGTTAGGAAAGAATCAGAAGCTCATTTCAGCCCAGATGAAGATTGCACTTCGTACGTTGGACGTATCCTTTTCACAGCCGCCTGAATCGTGGTGGCGTAAGTTGTCACTCGTATAAGCGGGCGTACAGTTTACCAGACCTATTTTTCTGTCTTATTTGTCTCTCATGTGATTGACACGATGTTGGTGAAGGAAAGTAAATGAGAGAAAAATCAATTGATAGTCTTTCGTATGAACAATAAAATATTACGCAATAAGTTTTTAATGTTGTACTTCATAGTACAAGTGAAAATTTGACAAAGCGTGTTTGTGAGTTTTCAGAGCAATAAAGTTATTGTTATTAACGTCTTTAGGTCGATAAACAGCAAATAACTAATCAAGTCTGACATTTGTGTTATTAGCCGCGTGTTGTTCAATTTTCTTCGTAATACCTATTTATTAGGATTAATCCTTATCAGAATCATATTAACAAGAAATTCCATTTCTAGGGATAAGTCTACTTAAATCTGTAACGGACGCCAGACGTGAAGGGTAGCTATTTGTTTCTCTGTTATTTGCGTTTAGTCCATGTAGCAGTATAGCGATATGAAAAGTTATAAACGAGTTGCACAATTTATTTTATTGAATAACATGTACTGATTAAGAACTGAAATTAATTTGGAGTTGTTGTTTTGTTTTTGTTTTTTTCCTTCGAAGTTAGAAAGTTGGAACTTCCAACAGCCTCTTTATGTATCTCGGGCGTTGACGTCTTTATCAACGTATTTAATTCTGACAGCTGCAAATAGCTTATGGCAACTATTGATCTGCTGACTGTGTGCAGCACAAGAAACTTTAAACGAACATCCTGCATGTCAAATGGAATCACGAACATCACGAAACATAAAGTGAATGCTTTAAAATTGAAAGAAAAGTTAAGATACGAATATTAGTATCTTCTGTTTTACTTGCATGTACATCAGAACTGTCTGGTTAATAACACCTAATAATCTAATAACCTGAGAAAAATGTCTCAGCAAACCCATAGTTGGAATGATCGTCTTTATATGCAAACAAGGAAATTATTAGATTGGACGCCTGAATTCATGAATTACGTGCAGTTCTGTAAATAAACGTTCACGTTGCTACAGCAAACTTAATATATATTTGGGCCGTTTTCCTCTAATTGCATGTTTACAACAGTGTGTACTCTACGTGGGCAACTACCCCACTCTAAACTGGTCTTTCCAGGGGGATTGCCCCTTAGGGCGAGCTTCTTGGCCTTTAGTTTCTATCTGCAACCTGTTCCGGCGCACAAGTATACCGTGAGGCTGGAATCCAGATCCTACAGGAACGCAGTTATCGTTCATGCGAACCTCCCAAAATAAATCTGTATCTGCCAGCTCAGAGCTACTAGCATTCCAGGTTAGCACCGGCGTCGATTAAAGTGTCATTCACAATACTCTGGCACCTGCTCAATTACACATGAGAATGGGGTATTACCACGACGAAACCAAGAACCTCTCTGAGGATCGCCCGGACCGAGGCCCGGGTGACTAGAGGCCCGCAACCCGTCTCCACACTACCTCCACCTTGAAGCTGCCGACATGAGTTCCGCATGAATCTGGACAACCTGACAGGGGGGTTCATGCTCCCCGACGAACTTTTTATTTGTTAATTTTGGGAGAAATCCCCCATCCAATCATGCTCGAAGGTCGGCGGCGAATCGCCTCCTCGCTGCCTCCACTTCGAAGCTAACGACGTGAGTAACTCAGCTGAGCAACTCAGGTTCGGGTGGACGTTATCTCCTCCGCCAAAAGCCTCAGACCATGCAACCGCCAGCCGCCCCCCCTCCCCCCTGCGGCGGCATGTTTAGTGTAGATGGGAATCTGTTGGCTTCTAACAAGTATTTTTCTCAGTGTACGATTGCTAGAAGACTTGACCTTCCAGCGAAGAAAGTATCACCGCCCCTTCCGCAATATATCATACTTATACTTTTACGGAACTATTGATCATAGTGGATAATTAGTTAACGCCTTATTTGACATGACGAGACTTGGGCCGTCAGACCCGCAGTTCCGTCGGACCACACAAATTTCGCTATGCTCCTTTCACCATCTAGCGGTGAAAATAGGTATTACTCGGGCAGACGATTTGAACGGCTGATTTGAACTTAGCTCAGAGGCTTACTTTGGGCTAGAGTATATTTCACATGCAGTAAATCTACAACATGGGACAGCTGGATTTACTTTCCCGCGGAAGGAAGGCGTATGAAGACTTTTTTCGCCCTAAAAAATCCACGACTTCGATCGGGTTTCAACTCGCAAAGTTTGCTACAACAGGCCTAAACTCTAACCGTTATACCACCGGACCCGCACCCCGCCGTGGTTGGCGCGCCCGGAATCGCTCAAGCCAATCGATCGCCTCCTGCCCGCGGCGCGCGTGGCGTAGTTGGGCGTCTCACCGTTGGGCAGCAGCAGGCGCGCCTCGAGGAAGAGCCTGCTCTCGCAGATGTCGTTGTCGCCGCAGTCCTTCTGGAAGGTGGCCTCGAACGTCTTGGCGGCCTCCTGCTGGTTGAGGATGGGGTAGTCGTCGATGGGCGGCAGCGGCTCGCCGGGGCGCGGCTGCACGGGCTCGCGCTGCACCAGCGAGTACGCCACCCGGAAGCGGATGGGCGACTGGATATCCGTGATGCCCTCCTGCGCAACACGCACAAAGGCATCCAACACACTCCCAAAAACGAAGGGGTTGCGGGCTCGCTTTCCGCTCCGGTTTCGGTCCCCGTTCCGGATTAGATTCCAATTCCGACTTCGGTTCCCGTTCCCTGTATGGTTTTGGCTGTGCAGCAGAACGTTTTGAAACTAAGACCCTCCAATCAAAAGTGCCAGAACTGTAAAATTTAAAATTTTGAAATTAACTTTTGCCAAACAAAATGATTAAAATACGAAGAAAATACTTACAGGTGTAATTCTTAGTCTTACAATAATTACATTCTAAAGGAAATTAGCCAACATACTTGGCGTTATGCTATGTTTTCACTATACTTATGTGCTCATATCGCGAATCCTGAAAACTTCGTTTCTTCGGGAGACCAATTGGGAGCTTAAAGCTTGTGGCGGTGGGAGATACCTAGTTAGGGAAAATCCCAGCAAGCGGGCGTAGGTCGGCGCCGGATATCGCCAGCCAGCGGGGGAAGATCATGGCCACCTCAATGAATGAATGAATCAATCAATCGCGCGAGCAATCTGCCCTCGGCCAATACACGGTCACAGACGAGGGAGGTGAATGCTGTCTCAAAAACATCGATTGATTGATTGTTAGTGATTCAGGGATCGTCAACTACAGACGTCATTAGTCCCGTAAATGTAGTGCATGTTTTTGCTTGGGCGGTGGCGGTGGTCTTCCCCTACTGGATGGCGAGATCCGGGGCCGACCTCCCGTCGGCTAGCGGGGTATACCGGGCTACAGGGCGGGGTATGCCGGGGTATAGCGGGCTAACCAGGTATCTCCCACCAGTGGATCACCGCCCCAGCTGGGGCAGTTTCTAACCTCCTAACCAGTGTGCCGGCATGTGTGGTAGTGTAGTGTATGTTAGTGTAAGTATGTGTGTAACGGGTGAGGATAGGACAAGGAGGTGATAGGAAAGATCGCGCGCGGTCCATGGCCCGTTTGTTAGAGTACTGCCTCGGCATTTGCCTGGTGTTGATCGAAAAAACCACAGAGAACTACCGATCAGAGCAGCCGGCCGCTGCATAGAATTCTCCTGCAGAGCATTGGGATTCGAACCTAGGACCCCCCGATCAGAGGGACAGCAGTGACATCAGTTGATGCCCTGAGACGTATCTCCCGGTCAAAAAACTAGATTTCCTAGCTACTCGTTTGTCATTCTCAACACACAAAATTATTTATTTTGGTGTAAGAATGCCCACAAAAAAGATAAACAATTTGCTGACGCAGCGAAAACAAATTTCTGGATAATTACAGTCCCTAGCTCGCAGTAGTCGATATCACGCGCGAACTCATACATTTTAAAAAAATTAAAGTTACCGGAGGAATAAATAAGGTAATACACATATGCAATAAGATTATACAATGGTAAATAATATTCCCTATTATGCTAGTTAATTCTTCATGCTAAAAAGTTATAATTATTCCCTCGGTTACGTGAGAAAATCCAGTTTACATATGTAAATTTGAGTAAAACAACATAAGACGTGGCAGATAACCAAGAAACATACTTTACTCCATGATTATACCCCATGATTTCTTACCGATATCTTGAAAACCAAACACCTATTGTTTACATAAAACGTGAATAAAAAACAAAATCAAAACTCCATATTTCAAATGTGAGTTGTTGAAAGGCGCATCTTCGCAATTAGTACGAGTTCTCCGTGAAACAAGGAAAATGTACCCTCGCTTTCAGGCGCGGTGGCAATGAAATAAGAATTTCACTGGCAGCTCGCGTGATCACAATCCCCATCCCACCCCGACTCACTTCGCCCCAGAGTGGCGTTCCGAAATAAAGATATACATCTTTCAACACATAAAAAAAAGTTATACGGCGACCCCTTTGCACGCTAAGATAACAGCGCTGGTAATGCGTTCACAATCGGGGCAATATATAATAGCGCGAGTGTTTAAGTTTGCATCGTATTCAGGGTATTTTTTCCGGAATATAAACACAGATTTTTTATTTGAGGCAGATCTAGCACTTATTTATTCAGCAGAAATGTAAAGGGACCCAGCCACGGTTAGAATAGGCTGCGCTTGAGTGTCATACCAAAATTAATATTTTCTCTTATAGCATTTTCTTCTATTTTTCTGTAGAAACCAATGATATTAGATCATCGTTACACTCCTACCTTATAAAATTCATTTTTTTAAACAGTGGTAAGCATATTTCTGAGACCATGACATATAGAGCACGTTCGCGGTTTAATTAAAAATATTCATTATATAAGGCAGGAGGTGTAATAATGATGTAATGTCATCGGCCACCACAGAAAAATGGAAGTGTGTCGTGCCTAAAAAATCTTAAAATGTGCAATTGGCGTTATGACGGCCGTGTAGTCTTAGTCCCGCATCCTGCTACGAAAGCGACCATCGTCAGCTGCCGGTATACTAATACTAATATTATTGTATTAGTATTGATTGTGGGGGATGATTATGTAATATGATAATGTATTTCTTTATCTTACGACATGAAATGTGTGTTCGGATAGCCCAACACAAATAGTTCTAGGCACGCACCCACATAACCAAGTGTCCGTCAAATACGGTATATCCACTAGTACTCGTGCATATTGAGATGTAGCGAAAATTGTGATGATGATAATGATGACGATGACGATTATGTTCGATGATGTGTTGAGTAATAAGAATGAAGAAAATTAAGAAAGAACTGCAATGATCGATAAGGTACACGAAGAATTCCAAAGCAATCTGCCGCAAATCCCCTTTTGATTTACGGCAAATCCCCCAGTAATTTCACATGGATCGAGCGGGATTTTGCGATCCGGTACACAGAAGCAGACTGGCTGCTAAGCAACGAGTCGCTCCTTGCATCACCTGCAATTTTATACGACTTAGTTTGGTAACGTTATTTATCATATTCGTTCGCGAATCGGAAAGCAGAAAAGTGTACAAGAACAAAAGAGTTCACTGGCTTTCGCTCAAAAGTGTTTCAAAAGAGAGCAATCTTTTACTACCGTATTCACAAAAATAGCGTTAGCAATCTGCCCACGATAGTAGCAACGCATTACAGCGACTGCTTCAAGTTCGAATCGTACTCATTGTATTTTCCTCGTAACACACAATGGAAAATTTTATCCGCGACCGATTAATTAATGGTATTCCGCAGTAATGTGAGGGATCAATTATGAAAGAAACGGAAGTCGATATCTAGACTCAAGAATCAAAGAAACATTCGAATCCAAAATCGAAGAACTAACTATAGGTATCTCTTAAATGTGTGTACCTATGTCTGGATTTATTAAGTTGTAATAAATTATTTGAATGTCATCGTTCGTGAAATGGAAACCAGAAACATCGTGAGAGACAGATGAGCAAACAGATTTTCATTCAAAATTATACCCTGAACTAAGAAGGAAATTCGGTCCAATTTACACGGAAACAGATTAGTTAGTAGTGTGTCTACAATCGCGCTAATAAATAATAGCGAGAATGAGGAGAGAGAGTTCGAATGGTATTTGTACCCGAATGTACATTGCATATTCTCCGGAGCTGGTGTATCCTACCTAAGACTTCCAAATGAATAGGATTACAAAATGCATCACTGCGGGTCCCTCGCTGGCCCGACCCACACTGCTTATCCATGCTCAAGCTAAACATTTCACTGCAAGAGTAACACGACTTTTCGGAACCAACTTTCTATCAACTTATGCAAAGGCGATGTAAATCGAAATCGACTTTTAGAAAAAAAGTGCTCTTGAGAAACAAACTTGAAGGAGAGTTCTCTGTGGAAAGCAGAAATAAAATCCTCTACCCCTGGGGAGCCACAACCCTTAGACTGTCGGTTCCGATAACAGTGGTATCTTCAGACGAGCATGCCAACCGATATGCGGATTGCATCTCTTCAACAAAAGTTGTAAATACGCGAAAACGAAGTTGGAAGACGTTGATAACGACACAAACGAGTTCGAGTTATCAAGCTATTGAAATCCGAACGGGGTGCGAGTATTGGCTGAGTGAGATCACATACAACAGGAAGACGTGGGCTCTGGTTTGCATTGGTAGTGTGGGATATAAAATGTTCACGAAGAACGCTCATATGTTCAGAAATTGAAAACTCTTGAAATAAGTGATGCTTTTGCATATATGATGTATAGAGGAAGAAATGCTTGTGGTTTTCCGTAAGTGATGCATAAGGGAGTGTGTACATCGGTAAGCGTATCGGCATGCGTAAGTGATGCACATCGGATACGTTTGGTGAATAATTATCTGCCACTAGTATCAATCTTTGTTTTTGTTTTAACGTGCGTCCTGTGCGCAGGTTAGGTCCCAGCCGAGTTGAGTGGATTTTCGGATGAAAAATCCCACGGCGACAATGTCAGGCTTGTGGCCTAGAAAAGCACCGAAGCAGATGATCGGCGCAATTAAATCCCTCCGGCAATTTACCTTTCTAACGAATCTCACGTTCTCCCGACCAAACAGTAGATATTGTTAACTGAGACCGACATCTGGCAGAGAAACTGAGAATCAGATGAAGGCGCATTAGGAACGCCCCTACTCCAAAGACCCCGACAGGGAGCTTAGAGGAAGCCTGGATCGAATTCACGGCTGTTGGCAATCATGGCCTCCATGCAAATAAGCCTATACAATAAAGAACGAGTGGTACTACATCAGCACATACTTTCTCGCATTATTTCAAAATTTCTACTTTTCTAAAACTCAGAGAGATCAACGAAAATCAAACATGAGCATTTTTTAAGGGTGCCTCTCTCTATCCATAAAAAACTGTAGGGCGGTTTTTGAGAATTTAAAAAATAAATTGCATAAATTTCAAGTACAAATTACGCAAAAGGCACTCTTTTTTCAAAACATTGGACATATCTGTTTTAAAGAGGTATTTTTCTAGAACAAATTTTGTTTAAAGCCAAAATTTGGATATTCAATTTTGTAGTTTTGAAATGTTAACTTTTTGCAATTTTCGAAAATACTGAAAGTTTGTTGAAAATCGGACTAGCACCATATTTTTTGCCCTCCATTGACACATACGAGGAGACATTTTGTAAAAAATAATTTGGTGCCATTTGAGACAAAAAAATGTTTTTATTTTGCGTCAGATAACGCGAAATCTACTCGTATTTATGAAAAATTGTACTTGAGTATATTCCATGAGTTGTCTTTAAAGAACAGATTTCATTAAGAAATATCTTTCTTCCATATTATAATTGCAGGAAGGCAAAGTTGAAGAAGGACAAAGTTTTATCAAAAAAATGTGGTGACATTTTTGAGACAATTTCGACGTTATTGAGGCTTCATATAAAATACTCTCAAACAAAAAATCAAAATACAAGTTTCAAACTTGCAAAGCTTCGGGTTTTTCAGATCGATCGGGGAATATCTATTTTGAAGAAAATCAGCTGAACTGTTTATGCCTTATAGCGTTGACCACAGACGGACAGACAAAAGAACATTTTGGCATCAATGGATTTTTCAGAATTAAGGACCCAATAATCATCGATTCTGACTACTTGACGTGTACAATGTATACTACATAATACCTACAATTTCTAACTAATTGACCTTTTTAATCACAAGAACTGTATTACCCATTCTCCAACACTTCTGTCATAGCTGGATGTCTGTTAATAAAATGTTTTACAATAAAATTTTATACCAAAAAGATATTTCCATTTTGTGAGCGGTAATCCAATTATCTGCTGGTTAAATTTATCTCACTGCTTCAAACAGCAAACACCACATCCAACTGCTAATATTTGAATTTAAATGAACATTTATATATAAATATTTATTTATCACATGCCTTTTATAAAATTGTGTTTTAAATCTGCCAGAAGCCCTATTATTTCACTTGGTTGTTAGTTAGTAAGTAATGAAACTACAGTTAAGATCGCATTTCACTTTTCCCTTTATCTATTTATTTATTGAAAATTTTATATTATTAATTTACATGACAACTGTGCATATGGTACACAAATGAAATATTGGCATTACGAATCGCCAATGAGCTTCACATTTTAGGAAGAGAAGGGCAAAGTTTCTGAAAAATGAATAATTTCAGCGTTACATTTTCTCGACGAGAATATTTGTGGGTAGAATCGAATAAACAAAATATAAGGCTGAAATCATTATTCATTTAGATGTGTCTCTTCGCCCGAATTGCGATGCTTTTTGGTGGCTCATATTGCAATGTTTATGGTTTGAAATAGTAGCCCCCCGCACGCCTACTAAAGGCACTGCGCTCGTTGGTGTGCCGACAGTGCGGGGGCGTTGTCGTGCTGGCGGATTTTGACGAAGTGAAGCGCCGAGTCCCGGATACTTGGACCCACGGTCCTTTGACGAAAATTGCTTCTATTGATTCCTCTACTTGCCCTTTAAGTGCTATTATAGAAATTCTAAGGTCATTGCCTATCTCTCAGAAACGCAGGTAACACATATAGAACATTCCCTTAAATCAGTAGCGACACAAGGACTGTGTCATGGTGATTTAGTCCAGACGAAACGACTTTGTAGTATATTTACAAAAATAGTTTTTACTAATTTTCTTTAGTTTCAAAAGTCAATGAATTCCTGTATTGAATATCCCAAAACCCTCGTGTAGCTTGATTGATGATGCTTGATTTAACCACGACTTCTCAACTGTACGGGGGGGGGAGGAGGGCGTCGCCAGTAATTCGGATACCAGGAATTAACGTAATGATAATTCAACAAATAGTCATTTTTTAACTCAGCATAGTGACATATTGAGTCAGTATAAGCAGGCTGATCGACCGGGAGGGAAATTCCCCGTCACAACATTTTTCAGTAATTATTAATTTTAACTTGTCACGAAACTTTCAACTAAAAATATAGTAAAAATATTTTCCTATAAACATTAAAACGAATATAATTGTATAGTAACATGAGCCAAGTTTACCGTGTATCATTCTACATAATCTGTAATAATAAACATGCGAACAAAACATTTTAATAAAAAAATTCACCTCCCAAAATCCGTCTGTGGTCCCGCCCCTGGTCGGATTGGCAGGACTTTATAACCTACCTCCCCCCTCACATAAGAAAAATCCTGGTTGCGCCTGTATCTTAAACACTCCCTCAGACCGGGAGGCCCTAGGTTGGAGTACGACGGTGGCAGGATTTTCGACAGGCTTGTTGGCTAAGTCGAATTCAGTCGCTGTCTGGAGGAGAATTCTAGCAGTCAGCTGCTCTGATCGGCTGTTTTTCGTGTTTATTTTTCAATCAACACCAGGCGAATGCCGGATCAATACCGTAACAAACGGGCTACGGACCGCGCAAGATCGCACTTTCCTCTTTCTTGTACTATCCTCACCCATTATACACACACACTAAATGTACTACACTGTCGAACATACCACGAGGCCAGTTGGGAGCTTCGAGCTTGTCCGGGCTGGAGCTGTGTCCCACTGGTGGGAGATACCTGATTGGGGAAAAGCCCGCAAGCCGACGGTAGGTCGGCGCCGGATCTCGTCATACAGCGGAGATCGCCGCCATCTCCCGAGCAAAACATGCACTACACTTATGGGGCCAATGACCCAGGTAATTTACGTGCCCGGAATAACTAAAACAATTGTTCAATCAATCAAGTCTCTCGATCGTAAATAACGTGCTCCCCAGTAGTCGTGAAACGGGCGTCGGCGGCAGGGCGGTGCGCTCACCTTGACGTAGACGATCTCCTCCTGGCAGGTCTCGCGGTCGGAGCGCGCGTCCACGAGGATGTCCCTGCGCACCACGTGCGAGGGCGCCACGCCCTTGAACCACACGCGCGAGAACTTGCGCCCGGGCTGGAAGGTCTCGGCCTCGAGCGTGTAGTTGAGGCGCACCTGGCCGCCCACGGCGCTGGCGCCGCGCCGCTCGCCGGCCAGCGGGTCCAGCTTGGCGCACGTGTGGAACGCGAAGCTGCGAGCGGAGAACATGAAAAACACGTGAAACGAGCACGTCGGGATTTCGTATGGCAGGGCAGGCAAATGCCGCCTTGGTAATAGTTATTTATGCACCAAGGACGTTATAAGCGTTCTAATGATCCAGCAGCGACAAAATACCGGAGAGCTCTTTGACTCCTGAGATCATTAGAACCAGTTAACATCCGCAGTACATACATGATTTTATTTTTCATCTAATTTTAATTATTCATATTTATTTATTTACTATTACTTAACAACTTATTTTTTAGTGTGTTATGTATAGTACCACAAATCCTTTGAAACTTTGCCAATTTAATGTTGATATCTTTATTGGTATCTTGATCGACTTGACAACCTAAGTAATTGAAATGGAAAATTTGCTCTAAGATTTTTTTGTCCAAAATAATTTTTGATCTTATTAAATGTTTTCCCCAAAATTCCACCACCTTTGTTTTTTGTTTCGATATTTCAACTTCGTATTTTTTACATAAATGATTTAAGTGGAATAATGCATATTGTAAATCATCTTCTGTTTCCTGGAATATCAAAGCATCGTCTGCGTAGAGTAACATATTTAAATTATTTCCTTAACACACTAAAAAACAAGACACGACAAGACACAAGAATAAAGTTTTATAAGACCATGACTCTTCCAACTCTTCTATACGGAAGCGAAAGCTGGGTACCAACAAAAACAATTTAAGCAGAATCCAGTGCGCTGAAATGAAGTTTTTGAGGAGAACGCTAGGCTGCACGAAAGAATATCATATTCGTAATGAGAAGATAAGAGAAAAATTAAATGCTGAAGAAACTGGAAGCATAATAAATAAATATCGAGATAATTGGTATCAACACACGCAAACTGGATGACTCAAGACTACCTAAATTAGCTTTACTCTACCAACCGCTTGGAAGGAGAGACGTGGGAAGACCCAAAAAACAATGGAAGAAAATCTTGTGAAGACGGAACAGACTCAAGTCTAATCCATGAAGTGCAGAAGAATAAGAAGAACACGTTGTTAACTTGGTTCGGTTTGGCATATCATATTGCCCTCCCATAATTCCTTCCGTAAAAGAACATGTAAGCATCATTCAAATGTTTTCATGTTTCCCTCGTCACCACGATCTAGGGAAGTTAAGAAGTGAATTTTGAGCTCCGTTTCGAAGGCAATAACATGTTATAACGTATCAGCAAAAAATAAACGAAACTTATTCGGGTGAGAATGCGGACGACGTGGAGATGCCAACGTCTCGTCCTGCGACGGCTTCTTCAGGGCAAACATTCCCAGGGAGATTAATGACTTTTTCCTCTTTCCGGGCGCATCAACACTTTTGTCGTCAGTTCCGTTACTGTACTGTAAGTTATAGTAAGGTTACGTCTCCGATGCGTATTCGCGTTTTACGTACGGGATGAAATGTGCAAGGTGTGCAAATCTGAGGTATCATTTTATTGGTACTTGCTTCCAATAATATTTACGAGAAACAACAAACTTTCTCCACAGAATTCCTAAGTAACCTATTCGAATTCTTCCGCCAAAAAATGTAAAATCAGCCGTTGTATGTCATCTACGATTCCTATGATGTCTATCCGCGCCATTGTCGGTTCAGCCGATTTCTGGATCACTGAAGGTACAGATTTTCTGGTAAAGGACAGTCCAAACCAAAAGTTTGAAAGCTGAGTTCACTTGAACAGTTAGAAGAAGCCTCTATTACATCAGTAACGTATCCAAAATTTGAGTGGCTCATCCGAATTGGTTTTCATTACATTTTTATGTCATTTTTTTGCTTTTATGGCTTTTTAAAAACTTTTAAGAGCATTTAATTGATAATTTTGGGCGATGATTTAGGTCATCAAAATCCGCCCCTCCAATTATTAGATTCTCAATAAAAGGACCATAACAACCAAAACAAGCCATTTCAATCATAAAGCGATATTTTCCCCTAAAAAAAAATAAAAAAAGAAGAAAAAGGGCCAAGCGTGTACCAGCGACAGGAAACACTGACCAGGCGTGCGGCGAGCGGCGGTCGGCGGGGCAGCCGGGCCGCTGGTGGTCGATGTTGGCGATGGGGTCCGGGTGGAAGCGCGTGCTGATGCCCACGATGGGCCGCGCGCGCAGCAGCACCACGGCGTCGCCCTCGTACGCGCCGGCCAGCAGGTCCGGGTAGCTGTTGAGGTCCATGTCCACGCCGCCGCTCAGCGAGTGGCCGAAGGCGCTCAGCCGCCCCACGGAGCTCGGCAGGTCGCTCACGCGCACCACCTGCAACGCACGCACGCACGCACGCACCATTGATTGGTTGGTGGTGATTCTGGGCGCGTCAACGGCTGAGGTCGCTAGTCTCGTAAGCGTAGTGCAGGTTTCCCTCGGGATGTGGCGGTGATCTTCCTCCCTGGATAGCGAGATCCGGTGCCGGAAGGGGTTTTCCTCAACCAGGTATCTCCCACCAGCGGGGCACCGCCGCAGCCGGGGCAAGCTCTAAGCTCCCAACCGGTCTCCCGACAAGTGTGGTATTTCACTGCACGTTTGTGTGTGTGTGTGTGTGTAAGTAAAGGGTGATGATAAGGACAAGAAAGAGGCAGAGAAAATCGCGCACGGGTCGCGCCCGTTGGTTAGGGTATTGCTCTGGCATTCGCCTCATGTTGATCGGAGAAACTATGGAAAATTATCGATCAGAGAAGCCTTCTGCTAGAATTCTCCTCCAGAAAGCGGCTGAATCCGACCTAGCTGACAGCCAGTGTCGAAAATCCTTCTACCGTTGGGGCTCTTAACTCTAGGATTTGCCGGCCTGAGGCACTTTAGTGCATCAGTTGATGCCCTGAGCCACCCTTCACGGTTTGTGTATGTATATTTTATTTATTTGTAGTCAATACAACCTACACAGTGACTAATGGAAGTGAAGTAAAAATAAATTATGCGAAAGAAATATTATTTGGGTGTGATAAACAGGGTTGGAAATTGTAGTGTGTTATATATTTATATTCTTTCAATTAGATTTCTTAATTTGACATTTTTTAATAAAATTCTCAACAATAACAGTAATTTCAAAAAATGAATCGCGAGCAAAAGATAAACTGCGCATCCTAATTGTATCCTCTGCCTCACAGTTATTGCCACTGTGCTCGCAGCAATAGGTCCGGGGGCTCGCTTTGATCCGCAGCGCGGCACGGAGAGGGAGAGCAGCTGTATGTGAAGTCACTTAGCAATCACTGCCCTCCACGTACGCCGCTCGTCAGCGAAAACCCAATGCTCTGCGTTGTTACGCTTCGCAGCTGCGTCAAAAGACTTCGTTTGGCCTTCCGCGGCAAGAAGCCGACCCCCAAAACGGGGCGGTACGGCCGAAACCAACCTTCGAAAACTAGAAGTACTGCAAAGCAAATTCTTATGAGAAGTTTTAAAATCTCCGTGGTACATCAGAAATGATCAAATGTTAAAAGAATTATCTATAGAACTTCAAAAAATTTGGATTCTTAAATTTTCTTCCCGTTTCTACTCTTTTCTTTCATCTTGTGAAGCTACTCGTTTCCACACTCTAAGTAAATCAATCTTTCCACGAATCAAATCAAGATATTCCGAATACCTACTCCATACTGCAAAACAGGTTCAAATATCCCTTAATTTAAAATGTATTTTGTACTCCAAACATTTTATGTATTTTTCTGAAGGACCCTATCCTTGGATATCCTTGGATGCTAGTTCATACTACTATTTTCTCCAAATATAGTACAAATATGATGAAATGAAAGTTCAAAAATCCTATTTTGTAACCTAAACCCCTTAAAATACATCAGTTTGTCGAACGAGGATAATTAAAAGTATTTGCCAAAAGCAGAAGGCGAGTGGGCGTCTGCGCACCTGGGAGGGCTCCGGCAGCAGCCCTTCGCTGGAGCCCAGGAAGACGTAGACGGCGCCCGAGCCCTCGTAGGGTGCGCCCACCGCCACGTCCGCGAAGCCGTCCTTGTTGAGGTCGCCCGCGTTGGCGATGGCGAAGCCGAACCTGCGCACACACCGCCCAAAATCACAACGTTATAACTGAATAAAAACACATCAGGAATAACAAGTATTCTGCGGACAGCCAAATGGCACAAGATAATAAAACGGCATCTAAAACAGGTGCCCTGCAGTCAATCAGCAAAACCACATCTCTGCAAGAGAATAAAACCGCATCCAGAGAAGTAAGTGTCCTGCGAACAAACGCCCAAACAACACCTGTGTACGATAATTTTTTTATAATATAGTAGAAATCATGCGTTCAATCAGCCAAACCACACAAGTGTAAGAGAACAAAACGGTACGTGGAATTGTATTGATTGATGACTGAATAAATAAATCTGATTGATTGATTGATTCATTGTTTCCGGAGACGACGACAAAGGTCATTAGTCCCATAAGTGTAAAGTGAAGTGAATGTTTTATCGCGTAAGGTGTTCGCCCGCTAGATGGTAAGATTCGTTGCCGACCTACACGTCGTTTGCAGGGAATTTTCCCTTCAGGCATCTCTCTAGCTTGGCACCGCCTCGCGGGGTCAAGTTCAAAGATCCTGAATGGTCCCCCCACATGTGTAGTGCATGTACGTGTGTGTGTAAGCAAGGGGTGGACAAGAAAGAGATTTGAAACATCGCGCGCGGCCCGTTGCTCGATTTTTAGGATACAGCTAAGGCATTCATTTAGAGTTGGCCGCAAATCACGGAAAACTAGCTGTCAGAGTAGCCGGCTTAATCAGGCAACATTCGACATCACTACTTAGTTTGACTCGAAAATACGCCACCGACAGGACTCGAACTTTAAGACCCCTAGCTCGGAATCGTAGCAGAAACAGCAGCAATGTTGCTCTGATCTATAATCAGCCGGCTATATACTTGTGACTTGTGGCGTAGTGGGCCTCTCCAGACCACGACGTGTCTGCGACCCATGAACCCCCTTCCTTCGAACCTCCTCCCCGAATGCTCCGAGGGGCGTTATGGGTCTGCGGGCTACGACGCAATGAGGGCAATGTGAAGCACAGTGTAACATATTTGCTCACGATTATACCACAAAACGAAGCTTAAATTTATTCATGAAGAAGAAGAAATGACACAATTTTTAACTAACTCCTGTAATTACACATTTTCGCTACAGGTTCGTTATTATATTTCAACGCTCAAATGAAAGAGTCAAACAACTGGGATGTTGAAAGAAAATATAAACTGTCAGAGAGATGAAAGACAGAGCAAGCGCACTAAAAAAAGACGATTCATTACGTCACTAAATGTCGTAAGATAATATGTTGAGATAAATCGAAAAGAAGAAGATACAGATCGTGAATGAAAATAGAAAATATTAGAAAGATAAATGTGAGACTTTCACATAAGAAGAAGAAACCAGAAATGCGAAAGAAGATATTCAAAGCCATTATATTAAAAATTCGCGAAACGTATACTATACGAATGTGACGTATGGCCCATTGAAGAACTTGATTGGTGGTTTAACAGCACCCAAGAAATAATCTATGCGCATCCCCCCACGTCAGAGGAAAAGTAGTAGTATAAAAATTATTTAAATATCTTTCACATCCTTTGACTACACCAGAGCCGCTTGTGAGCCGCTTCGAGTCGTGATCGGTAATTGTTTGGATATGAAGCGTTGAGAATGATCAAGACATAAACCATATTTTTGAAAAGAAAAAAAGAAAAAAGGGAAAAAACCTTTTTCGTGTAATTTAATCAAAACACGCTTATAGCTGTTCCTTCACGTGTAGTATGACTATTAAACAACAGATCACAATGGAGTATCTCAGAATTCTTCTCATACTAACGAATTCCCTTCCGACTTCTGTAAACTTCGTTTTTCTGTTGAAATATTTCGTTTCAGTCTATGTCAATCTCAATGCGTAATTTAGTGTCAATACATCAGTATATTGAAAGAGAAGACAATTTCGTTGGCTGTCAAACAATAGTCTCACTTAGCCGCTAGCAAACCGGCGAGCACTGCAGTGCAGTAACAATTTGCGATCACGAACAATTTTATTGAAACACGGTTTTGGTATCAATAACCTTGTCTAATTCAGTATCGGTATCTTTACGTAATTCAGTATGTTAACGATGTATGTTTGTAAACGACGCCGAAAAGCGAACAGCTCCAAGGCATCTCCAAATCTCCAAGAAAAAAGTTTATTATCAGAAGATTATTATTCTAAAGAATCATAAAACCTACTAGTCTAAAGAATATTTCTGTTCAAAACTGTAGTTTAATTACTCACGCGAGCGGACGCTTTTCACTACTTGACTTCTAGGCTGTCCGGGTGACGTCGCGTCGTTTGCAGAGAGGCCGACGTTTTGCCCGTCATGTCGCAGGCTTCTTCAGGGCCTTCTTCAAGCCTGCGACATGACAGGCGAAACGTCGGTCTACCTGCCAACGACACGGCGTCACCCGGACAGCCTACAATTCATGAACTCGAGCCGCGGAAGCCTACGTGTACATGTGCTTTTCGCTACTGCCGGAACAAGCGCCATATACATATAGTAGACACTCAGAATTAACGATGTAGTATTGAGCGCAGCCAAGGACAATAATATGGAGGTCAAATTGTTTATAGGTTAATTTATTGAATGGTAAATTTGAAAGTTCTACCACTCATGGTGAAATTCCAAGTCAAAAAAAGAAGAAAATGATGCCTAATGTCCGTCATATTAAAAAATTCGTACATCATTTAACCTATGACATTAAAAGTGCCAAGACAAAAGTCAGGATTAGTCACACAAGAATATTAGTCGAATCAATCAGACGATAAGTGGTAACTCAGAAATTCACATATTACGCGTTCACTTTACATGTGCAGACAGAGCGTTGTGATTGCGCTGATGAGCTTTATGTAGATGAGGTCACCGCCGTCTGAACGTGAATCGCACGTTTCCAGTAGATACTGATCGATTAGATGTGAAATAGTTGACGATTAGTGGGTTACATGCCCGCTCATTGTAGGTACGGCACAGTGCATGTGGGAAAGGACATAACTATTGGGTAATAGGCATGTGCACAGGAGAATTAAAAATGTTTTCCGTTCCTTTTGTGAATAGCATGTATTCTCGATGTCAAAGTGTATTGTATTGCAGATCTGTCAGTAGATCTTTCTAATGGTATTAATTACCCCCTTCTTTTCTTCGTGAACACAATTCACTCTAATATTTATAATTTCTTTACCATCAGAACCTACTCTTGCATACCGAAGTGGATTTGATTTTTCCGCAGACATCATAGATATAACAAAAACAAAACAAGCACTTTTCCCTGGACTCTCTCAGCTGGAGTCAGCATCAGTCAGATGCTGTTATACGTCAGTACTATACGTGCATCCTCGGATGTGTGTTCGGACCCTCATTTTCAAAACAACAATTAGTACCCAATTCTGCCACCTGCAAATGTATAATGAACGAGAAATACACCATCAAGCACCATCACTACGGAGTGGAAAGAAAGTTATGTAATCCTGCGCGAATTTTCGTGAGAGAAACTCTTTGTCACAGGGCCCTGGTAACCAAAAAGTGGATCAATCCAGTAACTAAATTTAGAAAAAATCCTCTTACATGTAGTGTACCCAGAATCCCTGTTTTGTGGGTCCTTGTTACTGAAAAATCGAATGACGTCAAATAATCTGTCTGTCTGTCTCTCTCTCAGTTCGCCTGTCTGTTTGTGAACAACAGCAAACATTTCAGCAGATTTTCTCCAAAATTTATATTCTCCAATCGATCGGGCTGATGTCACGGGCTCTTAACTTTGGGAATACTTTACATGAAACGCCTGTGACATTTTCCAAATTTTCCAAAAAAAAAATGGCAACATCGTTTTTGATCAAGTTGTGTTGTTGGACAGTGTAAAAGACGTTTAAGAGAATGGTGCATGTGTCATGTTCATTAAAAACTCTAACTTTTCGAAAATTGCAAAAGTTCAAAATGTTTTCAGTCTTCCTACAACTAGAATATTAAAGATAGATATTTTTTCCTGCATAAAATTTCTTCCTTTACGATAGATTTTGAAATAAGGTCATGTACAATTGTTCGAAAATTTGAGTACTTTTCGCGTAATATTGCGTGAAAAAACAGGGAAGAAAGTATGCGCTGCCAGTTTGTTCGCACCTGGACTCGGGCAGTCCCGTGAGCTTCTGCGGCACGTTGCACGCGTCGCCCGCCACGCCGCACGTCTCGTTGATCCTGCGGTAGACGTAGACGGCGCCGCCCTGGTGGCGGCTGAAGAAGAAGGGCGCGCCGACCAGCAGGTCGTCGACGCCGTCGCCGTCCACGTCGGCGGTGGCCAGCTCGTAGCCGAAGCTCGACGCGAACTGCTCGCCGGCCAGCAGCAGGCGCACGGCCAGCACGCTGTCGCCGCGCCGCCGCTTGGCGAAGAACGCCACCTGGCCCGTGCCGTTGTTGGCCCGCGGCGCGCCCGCCGCGTACAGCGTCTCGTTGGTGCCGAAGAAGCGGCCGCCGGCCACCGACATCCCTGCGAACAGCCATTCCTTTGGTCAGTAGCCCGCAGATGCGGAGGATAGCGTGGTCATGATCGGTGGTAGTCAGGTGTAGACGACCACCCGGACCCTAAAGGCCCATTCACAATGCAAACATAAACGTAAGCATGGCGTTAACATATAAGTTACGACTATGTCCATAAGCGGGCTCATTCACAATGCGTTCGCATAAGCATAACACGTTAGACGTTAGTTTAAAAGCTTGCAAGCTTCGGTGCTTATGGTTAAGTAAGGCATAAGAAATGAACCAATCACGGAACGGAAACCTAAAATCGAAAATCGAAATTGGAGCGAAGTCGATAGAAGAACTAACGCCATATGGGTCATGGACTCAGCCGATACCTTGAAATCGATTCTCACATCCAACCAATAGTAAACCAGAATGTCTCACAGCCAATAGAAACTCTTATTTTGCTTACGTTTATGTTAGACATTGTGAATACTTCAGTCTATCACTTATGTTAATGTGCATTTCTATGCGATATGCTTATATTTACGTTTGCATTGTGAATGGGCCTTAAGTTTCGCAGTGCAACTCACATTGATAGCTTTGAGGTGGAGGCAGTGAGTAGGCATATGCTATAAGGCTCTTGTTGTCGGGCTTGCCCTGCAACCCACAGGTTGGGGCAATGAAGCCTACCCTTAGGCTACATAAGGCCAAAGATCTTCGTAAGGACGCTCCGGATCCCATATATAAAAGACGAGGCGGGGACACGGACCCCCCCGTGATGGACTCTCCGCTTCTTCGTGGCAGAGGCCCGATACTCTGGGCAGGAGGAGAGTCACGTTCCCCTACGCATGTGAGTGGCGCATTGTTTGGACTCCGGCACTAGCCTGGAAAGCTAGGAACTCCAAGCTGGGAGAGCGGCTCAATCCAGGCGTTGAATGGGGAGGTTGCCGCGAGGGCATACTGCGTTCCGGCGGGATTCGGATACCAGCCTGCCGGTGTACTTGCGCGTTGGCGGGGGGTGAGGATAAAAGCAAAAAACTAAGGTGCCCTGCCCAGGGATTCGTCAAGGATTCGCCAAGCCATTCGCTTGTAGGACAAGGAAATTGTGTGGGGTGGTAGCCCAAGCGGAGACAAGACGTTTCAGTAACCTAATTGCACCGGGAGAGGCAGCGCTTTAAGACCGCTCCAAAATAGCCCGCGAACGGAAACGAAAAGAAAGTTGGAAGACGGACATTTCAGACAGGCGTTCACAGCAAGACGGGAACTGGAAGGACGGCCAACATTTATCTTGGGCCAGGTACGGGAAGCCTCTCGACCAATGAAAGTGCAGCGACTGGCGGCGAAGTTTCCCAGCTGATCGAGCAATGGTTTGGAGCGGAGTTGAGAGTGTAGTGCGATATTGAGATTAGGGCGTGGATTTGCGAAGATACGGATTGAGACGTTTTTTTATCATTATCGAATTGTTTTACTTTTTTAGTACTTATGGTTTAATTATTTTTCTATTTATATTAATAATTTTAATACATTTCGTTACGGTATATTGAAGTTGTTTGTATTTTCATAAAATTTTAGTTAGTTGTATTTTCCCCTAAGTTCATAGTAGTTTTTGTACTGTGTCGTTATTTTGTTTTTTTCTATTTAATATTTTTCGTACAGGGGTTTACTATTCTTAGCAGCAAACGCAAATACAACAGACAGATGGAAAATCAAAGAGTGAACAGAGAAGCTAGCTGAAGGTGCATTTGTTTCGGCAACTGTTTCTCAAAGTTCCCTGTCTTTCCGCAACAGATACATAGCGCTATTCCTGTTCCTGTTTGCGTTTATTGTAAAGCACAGGTACTTCGCGTTTCCGTTCCCGTTCGTGGGCTATTGTGAAGCGGCCTGTACAGTTGGAGTGAACTGGTGTTTGGAAGTAAACGTCCCTGAAATTGATTTCGTTTGGCCAATTATACCGATAGCCACGAGCGTAAAGAACACTTTACGTATGAAAGGTACCAATGTTTCGGAGATCGAGGATTAGATCCTGACCACAGAAAAACGCCTTTCTGCCCCGAGGTGCGACCTGAACGGAGCGCAGTTGACCTGTTGGCTTCGTCGTAGCAGAGCCGGTACCCATGGGTATTGATGAGGGACTTGCACCTGCGCAGAGAGTGGCATAACAACTCCTGTTTCTACACAGAAAGTTGGTAAGTCGAATTGGCGAGACGTCCCCACCCAGGTTATGGGTAGACGTGTTAATCGCCTTCCGGTTTATCCGGGTACTGTCTCAAAGGTGTACTTCCACGGGGGTGTGGAATAGAGTTACGCTTAGGTGCCAACCGTGGGGATGAAAAATTCCCTTGTTGAAGTACAAACTACGTGCGATCTTATACCGTCGAAAGCCTATATGCCGATCACCACACATTAGAGATACCAAATACCTTAAACGTATTCTTAGGGCTCAAATCATTGTCAACCCTGAAGGGCGACAGCATAAGCAAAAAGGATTGAACGAAATAAAAAAGGCAAATCGAATTTCATATTCCATATACTTCTCTTATTGAAGCAGATTTTTTTAATATAATGCAATGTATTAAACAATCTCAAATTACAATGTATAAAATTTAATACCAAAGCTCCACTTTAAGAATAAATTTTTTGCAATGACATTTTGTAACTAAACCTAGAAATAGCTAGGACAACGGTTCTACATCGATTCGTACCTCGCATGCCCTGTCACCTCTGTGTCCATAAGTGGCGATGGACAGGATTGGCGATGAGGACAAGCAAATATTTTTCGGTTGTGTGTTCATGTTCCTTACAAACCATCAGAAGTTTCAAATTGATACGCGAGTATTTGGTTTTCTCCTAAAGTGTTTGATATTCAAAAACATGGCTACAAACGAGAAATTTCTATTGAACATGTCAGTCCACATAAAAAACCTAACGTGATACAAAAAATTGTTTGCAGATTTGAATTCATTTCACCTAAATTAGATTTTATTCGCCTGTTAAATTTCATTTTAAAAAATGTCATAAATGAATGCCTGCTCGAGCTCTTTTGTGACCACTTAATTCTATTTTTTCAATAAAATAGGATTTGTTACAAAATACGTAAATAAATAGCGCAACAATGAATTTGAACAAAAATATACATTTACTCGACATTAAGTAGACTTACCTATAGATCTATCACGTAAATATAGGACTGCACGCAAGCAACATCAAACCACCAAGAGAAGAATTACATAATTTGCTTGTTTTTTATGGTTACTTCTTGGCAAACAAGTGACATAATCTGATGATGGCCTCCGCAAGGGGAGGCGAGGTTCTAATTTACTATTTCGCAAAATTCAAAGAACAATTAAGTTCTCAATTAGATCTGCATGTATGTTTTGGTTTCGTTCACGAATAATTCCGTATCTCCGCAACCGATTTTGGCATATATGTCTAAAAGTTTTATAGATACATAGATCGGCACATAAGTATTGTAAACAGAAAAAAATTCTAGGGCTTCTTGTACAATGGCATCGATTATGACAATTAAATGAAAAATTGAATGATTGCACAATGAAATAAAAAACAAGGTGACGTGTCCGTTGAAACTATTTTACTTCTACGTTCCTTCATTTGTAACGTCATCAAATTTCCACTTTTTCCTCGTAAATAAGACTGTCAAGAGTTTCAAGATGCAGCTCATGGCTTCGAAAGCACGCGACACGATCAGTCACGCTCACTGCACGCGTGAGTACGCGGCTCACGTGCGCGCCGCCCCGTCGCAATGCAGCCTTGGGTCGCTCCTAGGAACTGCTCGGGGGACGTGCTTTCCGCCAGGGCAGTAGACACCGAAGAGAAAGTTCGCACTAATACGAGTACTATTTCAAAATGAAAGATGATGGTTTCAAAGAAATGTCAATCGATATCAGTTGATTGACATCGACCCTGACACCTCCATTGATTGATTTATTAGTGATTCCGCGAACTGCGAAGGCTAATAGTCCCGTAAGTGTGGTGCATATTTGATGGATGGATGTGGCGGTAATCTTACTCCGACGGATGACATGATCCGAGGCTGATCTATCCGTCGGCTTGCGGGGTACTCCCCAACCAGAATCTACCACCAGCGGGGCACCGCCTCAGCTTGGACTAGCTCTAAGCCCCCGACTGGTCTCGCAGCATGCATATAACTGTAAGTGTGAGTAAGTAATGGGTGAGGATAGGACAAGAAAGAGGGAGAAAAGATAGCGCGCGGTCCGGCTAAAAATGCCTCTTGTAGTGCACTCTTACATCGACGTAACGCAACCAAACAGCAAGAGCCGGAGCCCTTTAAAGATTTAACAGTGCGTCATTTAACAGTGCATAACGATCAATGGGAAAAAATGCATTTTAGCTGTAGACGGCTTATGAGAAATATTGAACGGCACATGGCCGATATCACAAATAACACTTTTGATTGGTTATATGTGCTATATCTACGTTAAGAGTTAGTTATAAGAACGTTAATAACTATAAGAAGTGTGTGTGAAATATACCCTTTTGGTATGAAAATCTTTCAATGTCCGTTAGAGAAAAATTGCAGATTACTTTACCAATCTCTAACGTTCAGCATCTGAGGCTTCGTAGGCCTGAGTGAGTCGTATGTGCAACGTTGACGGGATTATCGTCACCTGCTGAATAGTGGGACCGAAGTCGAGCACCGCATGCAAGATACGTCGCTGCCGTGGTTCCCCTGATCAATTCCTGGGAGAAGCGCGAACAACGACATGGACTGCGCGATTCTTCCTTCTTCGCCCAGTCTCAATTCTCATTCTCAGAGTTGAGCGAGGGGTCGACCCCCAATTGGTCTATCTTCTATGGCCCATCATCCACAGTTCAGGAAAATCTCAGACAAGTATCGGTTACTTGAGATGTTGCTGCCACCCGCGATTTCCCCAAAACAATTCTTTCTCTCGTGTTTGGGCGTCCGAAAGAGGTTTCTAATCGTGTTGAAGAAGCAAGCGACAATATGAAGACTCCCGTACAGATGCAGGGAAATGGCTACAAATG